GGGGGGGGGGGGGGGGGGGGGGGGGACTCAAGTTTTGGCATGCCATAGCGGATAGACCATTCATTGACCACGTGTCCTCGAAAGGACGAAGCATTGTTCCCACAGCACCGATGGCCAACATCGTTCCTTCCTACTTCACCATATGTGGCACAAACACGGGGTGGGGGGAAGTACTAATGTTTCTCGTTGCCTAAGCGATTAGACCATTGACCACGCGCCCTCGAGAGGACAAACCCTTGTTCCCACAGGACCGATCACCGATGGCCAACCCTTCATTCCTACTTTGCCACCTACGGCAAGCCTTACCTCACGGGGCCCTTCCACCCCCATCCCCGGGGCCCTCGGCAACTGCCGGACGGGCGTGACGTGCCGTTCCCCGTCCCAGCGACCAGCCCCCGGTGTGTCTTCTACTCCCGCCGTTCCACCCGGGCTACGACAAGAGACAGCCGGAGCCACCGCAAAACATCGCGGGTGTCAGGGAGGGGGCGGCGGGATAAACGAGGAGCAATATTTTTTGTGTGTCCTGTCCCGCTCGTGCGCCCTAGATACGCTTGCAGCGGAGGAGGACCGCACGACGCCAGCTCGCGGGAATTCTCGGCTCGACGTTCGCTTCCTGTCTCTCGTAGCACGGAGAACTATACCGGGGGAAAAGGAGGCGGCGGGGGTGGTGTTTCCTGCTACCCTTTGGAGATCCTTATCCCGATCGCGCAGACGGTGTAGAAAGTAGCTATTCCGTGAGCTTGCGCGGACCCGCAGAACTTTGAAGACGGCAACGCCGCCGCAAAGTTTGCAACTCCTTGCCTCGCTTTTCCCTTTCTTTTTTCGTACGAAAAACGCAAACAAATCCATCTCTTCCACAGATAAGAATCGCCTTTCGCAATCGAATCGGCAAGCTCTTACCGAAAGCAACAAAGCTTGGTGCCAGCCTCTACGAACCGGCGTGAAGCCTGGCACAAGCGTGTTGGAGCCGCAAGGGCAAGCGATTGTGCCATCAAGGGGTGATCGAAGGGGGGCAGACAGACCCCCAGTTCGCTTCCAGCGGCAGTGTCACGTTTCTCAAGCTCAAAAGCTCACACAGCTACCGTAGGTGGCATGACACAAGATAACACACCCCCCGGACCGATGTTTTGAAGCTTCATTACTCCACGACGAAGAGGATGCTGAAATCAAAGGATGCGTTGTCGGAGAGCGCTCGACGGGACGGTTCCAACGGCTGCCGTTTTCGGCGCCGTCATTTTCTTCTGCCGAGGTACCGAGTTTCGAAAATCGGGCCAGGGGGTGTGATATCCTACGCAGCCTACGGTAACGTGGTTCCCATTCGAAGAGCACAGCGAACCTCAACCAACCTGAAAAAGAAACATTTTACAAATCTGTGGTATGCAGTCCTACATACCTTGGTGGCAGCCGCGCTGGCGGGGTGTGCGAAGGGCTCATTCCCGACAAACCCTGCCGAGGAAAAGCACAAAAAAATAAATAAAAGGGCGGTGCAGATAGGGCACAAGGCCGTACATGTGGCGGCGGTCCGCAGGCAAGGCAAAACACCCCGTGCTTGGGATATAAAACTAGTTGGGATCGAGAGTCTTTTCCGTCCCAGACATTTTGAGGTACGCGACCGTTCATTCGTGAGGGCGCGGCAAGAGCGGGGTCCAACCACGCAAAACAGGTTTGTGGAACTACTGCTGTGTCCCTTCTTAGCCCTACTTAGCCTCCCGGTGGTCATACAACGAAGATAAAATAAAAGGGCGGTGCAGATAGGGCACAAGGCCGTACATGTGGCGGCGGTCCGCAGGCAAGGCAAAACACCCCGTGCTTGGGATATAAAACTAGTTGGGATCGAGAGTCTTTTCCGTCCCAGACATTTTGAGGTACGCGACCGTTCATTCGTGAGGGCGCGGCAAGAGCGGGGTCCAACCACGCAAAACAGGTTTGTGGAACTACTGCTGTGTCCCTTCTTAGCCCTACTTAGCCTCCCGGTGGTCATACAACGAAGATAAAATAAAAGGGCGGTGCAGATAGGGCACAAGGCCGTACATGTGGCGGCGGTCCGCAGGCAAGGCAAAACACCCCGTGCTTGGGATATAAAACTAGTTGGGATCGAGAGTCTTTTCCGTCCCAGACATTTTGAGGTACGCGACCGTTCATTCGTGAGGGCGCGGCAAGAGCGGGGTCCAACCACGCAAAACAGGTTTGTGGAACTACTGCTGTGTCCCTTATTAGCCCTACTTAGCCTCCCGGTGGTCATACAACGATCTCAAGTCCACACACGCACCCGGTGGTCTAGTGGTATCCTCGTAAACCGCTAGTCGCAGAGGTCGTGCGGTGAATTTCTATGGGGTGAAAAAAATTGCAAACTTTGCGGGTGAAAGCGAAACAAAGCTGGAAAGCTCTCGTGAGTACCAAACTTCGACGTTAGCACCGTTGACGAGGGAAAGGGACGGCTGGACCCTTCGCGCGATTAAAATAAAATTCAGCACGCACCGCAGGGGGAAGGTGGGGCATGAAAATATATAAAATGAACAAATAAGCCCTGGTGTTTACCCTCTCCTGTGTGACCCTAGATGGTTGTAGTTGTACGAAAAAATACACTGAAAGGTGTAGTGCTCTACATACGCTGAAAAGTGTACGTCTCACCACGAAAAATTGGGGGACTGTCGCCATAATAAATAGGACGAAAACACAAGAANCGTTAGCACCGTTGACGAGGGAAAGGGACGGCTGGACCCTTCGCGCGATTAAAATAAAATTCAGCACGCACCGCAGGGGGAAGGTGGGGCATGAAAATATATAAAATGAACAAATAAGCCCTGGTGTTTACCCTCTCCTGTGTGACCCTAGATGGTTGTAGTTGTACGAAAAAATACACTGAAAGGTGTAGTGCTCTACATACGCTGAAAAGTGTACGTCTCACCACGAAAAATTGGGGGACTGTCGCCATAATAAATAGGACGAAAACACAAGAACAGCCTCCCCCATGCTGCCCCCTCACGGGGTCCCAGTTCATGGCAGATAAAAGTGTTTTGTGTTTTCAACCGCACTGAGACTGACGTCTTTTCATTGGTCAGCCGGTTAGCGCGGGCGATGCTAATAATAAAAACACACACACTCTTGCTGCGAGGGGCAATAACATGCATCACCCATCTATCCATGCCCTCCTAGAGAAGCGTCGGGAGCGCGAAATGACCTCAGACATTTATAAGCGTAAAGTGCATCGTTCAATACGATTCGGGCCCAATGCACACAAAAATAGATAAATTATTGTGTCAAGTCCTTGTCGTTTTGAGGACTTCACCTTTGCACAGCAAATGTAAGGGTTCGATTCCCGTCAAGGATTTGAAGTATAATAAAACCCTTAAGTTGTTCCTTTCAAGAACAAAGAGCACAGGAACTTTGTTTTTACTATATCAACAAACACAGGAAGGTGTAATGGGCCACGACCTGGGTGTACACTAGAACGAACGCATTCATCAAGCAGATTCGAGGCGTTCTCTTGCCTGCCAGCGTTGGGTAATGTTCAAGACAAGCGAACACACGTGCCGAGCTAGCCTTCGACGGGTTTGAATGTAGGTAACGTCAATTGATCTCCTCGATTTGCGGCGAGACAGAACAATTCTGGATGAGGAGTAAGCTACGTACAACTCCCTTGCACTTACGTTCTTCACGAGAACGAAAGGAAATGCCGAAAAAGAGGCATGTAGTTGCTGGAATGCTAGCGTTCTCCGTGGGTCAGGGTCACACAAGACCAACTGCGGTTAGGGTTACTTGGATCTGACCAAGGACACAAGGACGCTCCCGGTGTCTCTACACACACGCCCTTGATTGGAAGGACAAGAAAGAAGGGCCAGTCAGTCACACACACAAACGTGCGTAATATTCCCCAATGACGCCCCCCGCACGGGGTCCCAGATCATGGTCTTCATTTTGTTTTCAACCGCGCTGAGACTGACGTCTTTCCATTCGTCAGTCGGCTACCGCGGTCGATGCCATTATATTAACAATAACAACATACCCACATTTACGCAGTTTTGTGTTTGCAATCGGATTGGGACTGACCCACCTGTCACTGGTCAGCCGGGTGACCTTCGCCACAACAACAGACGCAGGGCTAGAGAAGAACTGCCGCAAAATAGCTGAAATAAAAAATGGCCATGAGAGTCAAGTCGATGAAAGCAAGGAAGATGATGGTGAAAGCGCTCCAAAAGAAACTCAAGCGCAAGGTAGCAGCCTTCGTAGACGCGTGCAGTTTTTCCTCTGTTGTTACCGTTCCTGCCTTTGATTCGGAGAGGAGCTTGGCCTCTCCCATGATGCCCCCCTCACGGCATCCCAGATGGTGGCCTCTAGAAGTGCTTTCCGTTTTCAGCCGCACTGAAACTTAGACTTTGTTTCATTGGTCAGCCGGTTGGCGCGCTCGATGCTAATATCAAAACCCACCCACACACACACACACACACACACACACACTTTGTATTTTCAGTCACACTGAGAATGACGTCTTTTCATTGGTCAGCCGGTTAACGCGGTCGATAATAGAGCTTTTACGATTAAGCTACAAGTAAAGCGAATCTTCCAGCTTACGCTACACTTGACAATGCCCAGCATCACGTGATTCTTACCAATCAGCCGATTTCTCTCTGTGTGTGTGCTGTGCTGTATATCGTTGCATGCGACCGGTCGCAGCACAGCAGCCCGCGACAAGATCGGTTTTCGGCGAGACTCGCACGCTATTTATGCATGTGTCACTAAACTCATCGTCAGTCCATGTTATCGTCAAGAAAAACGGCGGCGGCGAGTTCATAACTCGCGACCAAAACGAGGAGCACAACTCCGCCTCCGAAGTATCCATTTCGCTGCGTCAGCCCGGCAAGGATTTCCGCACCCTTGTACCCTCTGCCTACAAGACGTCGGAGGCAAGCAAAGTAAACTTGCTTACCGCAAACGTCGTGAAGGCAGGGGGTGCAGGGGTGGGGGTGGCCCTTGCTCGGAGCGTACAGCCAAAGCGATACCTTGCAGGAGGCGGAGTTGTTCCACTCGTTTTGGTCGCAAGTTATGAACTCGCCGCCGTCCTTCTTCTTGACGAAAATTGTGAGTGTCGTGATGTTTTGAGGCAGTATTTTTATTTCAAGAACAACTCGAGTTGGTTGCCAAGATGTGTAATTCGTGGTGCTAATAATAGTCTAGGAGTCAAGTTTACGTTTATGTGGCTACCGTATTGTGTGAGCGGCCGCGACTATTTCTGGTTGACCCATGTACGTTTGTGGCAAGGGCGTTTTGGAGAGAAAAAGCGGTCTTGAACCTAGGCTATTCTTGGGATAAGTAACAACTGTGCGCGAGGAGTCATTTTGTTGACCTGAAGCATAAGATAGAGCTGCTATTTCAGGAGCAGAAACGGTTTCTCCTATTCAGGGGACACCGTTCACCCAACATGAATAATACACACTATACGGTGTTTACCGCCTCCTGTGTGACCCTAGATGGTTGTAGTTATGCGAAAAAAAAACACTGAAAAGTGTAGTACTCTAATACACTGAAGAGTGTAGTACACGTCTCACCACGAAAAATGGGGGGACTGCTGTTGCCATCATATATACAATTAGGACGAAAACCACACACGCACGCACTGAGACTGACGTCTTGTCATTGGTCAGCCGGTTTACGCGGTTGCGGTTGATGCTGATAATAAAAGACACATACTATAAACACCTGTTCGCCGCCGCCGCCGCCTCCCGTTCGAAAGGGGATCTCTGTGCCGTCCGCGGACCGTAACCCGAGTACCCGCATCGTTCCTCTATCCACCAGACCACTGTACTGAAAGTTCACCCTCGACCCCGCACCGAACAGCTCCAGCACCCTCCTGTCGTGACTGCCGGCGGCAAGCAGGCGGAGGCAGCCAGCAACCGCGCACGAGGCGGCGTTTCTTTTCTTTTGAAAAGAATACTTCATTTTATTTAGTACCGTATACATTTTGTTGGGTGAGTTAGCCTGTTAACACGGGAGGAATCGACCGCGCCAAGTGTTTGATTAGTACGTACAGAAGAAGGTACGGTTTCCAATGTGAAGATAACAACACACATAAAAACACATGGAAAGACGACTATTCGTTCGGGATGTACATATGTATATGCACAACGCGGCCACACGTGTGTGTGTACACGTGTGCCAAAGAAGGCTTCGATGTATTAATTCCAGAGGAGGCGTTCGGGTGTGTTGGGTTTACCGTCTGTTGTGGCGACCGTCGGTGATAACACCCTTGGGTCACAGCTTCTGTTTTGCTTTTTGTCCCATCGTGTATTGTGAGTTGTGATGTGGTGTGGTGTTCTGGTTCGTGATTCGGGCGCTTGGGTCTGAAGATTGATATGTCTACTTCAGTAAGCTCAACAGACAATTCATTGTGGCTAAAAATTGAACAACAATGCCACCGATAAGACGAAGGCGGATGCCACCGATAAGCCGAAGGCGACATGCCACCGATAAGACGAAGGCGGATGCCACCGATAAGACGAGGGCGACATACTTCTCGGCGCTCAAAACACAACAAAGACACCTCTTGCACCACTCACGCGAGAGCGGCCTCCTCCTCGTGCTCGTGACACGAAATCTCCACCTCTCTCCCCTTGTAGCTGACCATGGCTCCCCAGGTGTTCTGAGCACACGGAAAGAAACGGCATCGGGGGTAGAAAAAACAAAAACATAGGGAGAGATAAAAACAAATGAAGGCAGAGCGAAAACATAAAAGGGAGAGCTAAACAGTGCGTATGATACGCCTACAAGGTCTGGGTGCGCTACGAACCGTGACCCTCAACAGGAGATCTTGTGTACTCAAGGAAGTTATGGGTCCAAGAGGGAGCTCTACAATCAGCCCACCCTGCCCGGTAGAGGTGGCGCTGCACGTGACAGGCACTCCAATGGTAGTCAAGAAAAGGGGCAAGAAAAGCGCCAACAACATGCGATCGACGCTACAGAAGACCGACATTATTTGCAGCCGATGGTAGCTCAGTCTCGTTTCACCTCGCGCAGAAAAAAAAAAAATGAACGCGCGTATTACGACACACAACGAGACGTAAAGATCAACACCTGCACACACTCCTGTGCTAGTGTTTTAACTATTCATCGGGTGGTTTATGATAATGCTTGCGCCCCGATTTTCGTCAACAACAACAACAGAAACAAACAACACACAAACAACGAAACGATAACGACGACGACGACAACAACAACATTAGCAAGGCACCAACATGTCGATTGCGTTCTTTCGGTTGCAAAACACGTTCCGGCGGAAGCATCAGCCTCATCATCATGAAACAAAAGAATGCATATGGAAACACGACAGCAGTCACCGACCAAACCTTCTCAAGCTGGTCGCAAGCTTCACTGTCATGAGAACCAAATACATTATTGGACCTGAGACAAAACAAACTCTGTTGAAAGCTCACAAGTCATGCGGTTGAAGCAGACAAACAAAGGGCGGTGATTGGTTGTAAGCTCACAGTCATGCGGTTGAAGCGGACGCCCCTATACGGCGGTCCCGGCTGAGTGGAGTACGTCTTCAGCTGCACCCACACCGGTCCCGTCTGCGTGATCCCAGCTGCCGGTGGATCGTTACCATGGGGTAATGACCCCGGTTTACCCTGGGGGCACGGCGGACAGGACGCAAGCAGGGGTGCCTCACTACTTGGAGCAAGAGCTCAAAAGAGCGCACGGGATACATGGTTTTTCTTTACTGCTGCGCAGCATTTCCGGCGGGGGCACAGCAGTGGGGACAAAATCAGGGGGTTTGAACAATAGCTCAGAAGGGCGCGCGGGATTCTTGTTCTATTTCTTTACTGCTATAAAGCCCTCCTCGCCACCGTCCGTCTCGGTGAAACTACCGTAGCCAGCCATGCAGCTAGCGCCCGCACTCAAAAACCTCTACGCTTATTGGCCGAGGCGAAGCGAGCGACATTTGAGGCATGCCATCCAGGCAGGACGCATTTCTTTCTCGCCGAGCCCTTGAGATGTTTTCGGATGCAGTCAACAAGGGTCACCTCCTTTCTCAAATCTCGACTCTCTCGCCCTCGGGCCCCGAAGAGGCGTCGTCTGTGTGTACAGTCGTGGTCCCAGTTTAGCGGTCCTCTGTTTGGCGGGGTGCCCTGAATAGCGATTCCAAAATCTCGTCGTACGGTTGCACCTCGGAGGTCAAACTACTATTAAACTGCCAATCGAGTTTGGCGGCGATACCCTCAATAGCCGTTCGTTCCCGTATATTACACAAGACAACACACCCCCATGACCGATTTTCAAACTTCGATTTCTCAACAGCAGTGAGAGTCACAGCGCCGAAAACGGCGGCGTTGGAACCGTCTGGCCGAGAACTTCTCGAAAATATATCGTTTCGTTTATGCATCCTCTTCGTCGTGGAGTAACCGATCTTTGAAAATTGGCCCAGGGGGTGTGTTATCTTCTGTCATAGACGGCTGAACGTTTTGTGACTCTACGAAACACTACACCGGGACCACGACTGTAGCCAAATCCGCGCATGATCGGCACAAAACACAAGTGTGTGAGGAGAGGGAAACACGGTGATTCCGGAGGAGTGTGTGCTGATTGACGGAAGTCTCGAGCGCTGCTCGCAACGCAAGGAAGAAGGCCGTTTGTGCATCACTGGCGCCTCCGGCGGAGGGTTCGTGAGACGGGTGATGTTGTGCTTCAAGAGCCAAGCGCACGAATACACAGGAAGTACCGTAATTGTGCGTGTTATATTTCTCCGCAACTACGAGGCGGACCGAGTGACGCGATACGTGCCGGATTGATATTCTTTTAGCCAATTCCCTCCCCCCCAACGCTGCACCATTGCACCAACCCCCCACTAGTTAGAGATGACGTACCATTACAATGTATCCCTGGTTGGTGGCCATGTTTGCGTGTTTGCTTGTCGTTAGTGGTCTCTCCACCGTGTGCCTTTTTCTGTCTCGTATTTCTTGTTATTTTCGGCCTGGTCCCTGTTTGTCCTCGCTCTTTTATTTCATTTTCTCTCACCGTATTATTACTGTTTCCCTTTATTTTCTTCTCTTTTTCTCTCTTTTTCTCTCTTTTTCTGTGCCAGATGACCTCGCCTCTGCTTGCGTTGTGAAGTACCAAGATTGAACCAAGGGGGTGTCCCTCATTCTCTCCGGCCCGTGATGGTGACCCTAGTCTCAGTTGTTACCTCGCATAGCGCGCAGAGGGAGTGGAGGACTCCAGAATAACTGTCGTTGATTTCTATTGACTTGCGGACCCCTCGGGTCCATTTTATTTGAGTGTACCTTTTTAGTGTAACTTAGCCTGCGACCACGGGAATCGACCGCGTCGAGTGTTGGATCAGTACGGACATACGAAGGTACTGGGTAGAGAGAGATCGGAACGGCTTTTAAGGTGAAGGCAACAACAACAACAACAACAACAACAAGGAGGGTGCGAGAAACACGCTTTAGAATGACGCTATCACAGGGGTGCGACAACACGCACAATTACGGTCCAATGTGGGGAGCACATCGGAGAACCGACGATTACATAGCCGTGTAGCATAAAGATACCTACGAAGTACTCCACGTGTAATAGTACCGTTGAAAGGTATTTGTTCTCGATGCCCCCCCCTCTCCCCGTCCCCTAGAAACCGCAATTTCCGTTTCTGAGGAGGTACAGTGCCGGCCCGCACTTAAGAACCTCCTAGTAGCTATATTGGGCGAGGCTCAGTTCTTATTGGCTGCCCCAACCCGAGCACCACTTCTCATTTGCCAAGTTCGTATTTCGTCGTCCATTCTTCTCCAGAAAGGGGCGTTCTTGTTCTTGGAGTATTTTAACACCATTTGCTATATTGTCGGCTGTCAACCATGAGCAACACTAGTACTGCTACCATGAGCAACACTAGTACTGCTGTCGATAATAAAATACCAAGGCATGGAGCAGCAACTGTCAACCTTCTTGGTCCACAAGGGTGACGTTGGTCCTGAGTACCTTTCCTGATCTACTAATGCTCTCAAGCAAAACCCAGGAGCCTACAGCCGCATCCGAATCTCCGCTGTACTTGTCTAAGGGCAACTTCATCTTGCGCGTACTCTGGTCTAGCTCCATCCAGCTGCACACAGTAGTCGTACAGGTGGCGAGTGTCCTTCTGAGATAGTTGAGTGATCAGCCCTCCAAACCACCCCATGCCCAGCCTTCACGTGTACTTTGATTGTCTCGAAGTGACGGTCAAGAATCAGACCCCTTTGTTTCAACTCTGCAAGTTTGCCGAGCTCTTTCAATATCCCATGGGATAAGGGNCGTTGGTCCTGAGTACCTTTCCTGATCTACTAATGCTCTCAAGCAAAACCCAGGAGCCTACAGCCGCATCCGAATCTCCGCTGTACTTGTCTAAGGGCAACTTCATCTTGCGCGTACTCTGGTCTAGCTCCATCCAGCTGCACACAGTAGTCGTACAGGTGGCGAGTGTCCTTCTGAGATAGTTGAGTGATCAGCCCTCCAAACCACCCCATGCCCAGCCTTCACGTGTACTTTGATTGTCTCGAAGTGACGGTCAAGAATCAGACCCCTTTGTTTCAACTCTGCAAGTTTGCCAAGCTCTTTCAATATCCCATGGGATAAGGGGTTGCACTGGGACATGATCCCCCTACACCGCAGGCAGCTCGTGGCGCGCTGCACGTTGCGTGGCAGGCACGCTTTTCTCGGGGGCACCCAGGGGCACGACGCGTGCGTACAATGCCCACCCTCCCCCTGTAAAAAATTACAAATATTGATATGTGGGGTATGTACCCCTCCCAAATCCAATACTATCTACTCTGGGATCAATCCCCCCTCTTCCCTCCCTCCCCCTGGGAATATTCTTATCTGGCAGCCGCTGCATTGCTGTCGTTCTTATTTGTAGCAGCAGTTTTGCACCTCAGGTGTGTGTTCTGGTTCCTAACAACAGGGCGTGCAGCTGAGCACGTGTTCTTATCGGTAAATTCCTAAGTTTTGGATTTTTGAGCATCAAATTCTTTAGTGCCATATTCTTACGTGCGGGCCGGCACTAGCTGTACTGCTACTACTGTTGTTGTTTCTCACATAATGTTTTAGCTCTACAGTCCACAAAAAATGGGGAGTCCGTGGTCTCAAAACCCGGCACATACGACGCCGCGGGGAAACAAAATAATAATGGGGTACAGACCACTCGGGCAAAGAAAACAAAATGATAGAAAGAAAATGGCAGGTACCGCACCGACCGTTCGAGAAACGAGCTCTCGGAAACCGATCAAAATAAAACAAAAACAACAATAAAGGGAGACGCTTCCCACACTTGAAGGGGGTATGCATACTCTATGCACAAGCCATTCAATCTCCTGGGCTCTCCGCTTACCTTCAGGTACATCTGCTGCGGACCGGGTGCTTGCGGACCACTAGCGTGGTGATACATCATCCCGATATCTGTGAAATGTGCACAACACGAAGGATCAACCATCAGACAGAAGGCAGCCTTGTTGGTATTGACTGCAAAGAGGGGGAGCAACAGAGTGGCGTCGTTGGCCGCATGGGAGGAACTCGGCAAGCTTTTGGCGTGTAAATAACCTGGTTAACCTCCACAGCAGTCTTCATGTGTTGATGATTAGCCTGTTCTTCGAACCACCAGTAGCCAGCCAAACCAAGTGAGGCACTTGGGCCGGTGGTCTTTATTTATCTCACAACAAGTGTTGACATTGTTTTTTTTTTGTCTCCCATCATTGGACTCTGTCGTCTACCCCTCTGGCCCCTATCCTCCACTTCTACCAGCTAGACGACCCACCCGGGGCCACATAGGAGGGGGGGGCTGGACCCCCTCCTGCGGTTCCTGCCTGAGATATTTTTATCGCGAGAAGGGTACAGCAATCCCTTCCCTCGCGACTGATGGAGTCGATCAAGTTTACGAACAACGAGTTTTGCAGCGCGTCACTTCCAACCGAGACTAGGATTTAATTAGCAAGAAAAAACTCACTCTGCCGGGTCTCGAAACCATGACCTGGCCCGTAGCAGGTTGCGAGGCTACCCACTAGACCACCGGGGCGATCGGGTATGTATACGTTTTTCTTAGAGAGGGGTCATCTAGAGGTCCTGTGATTGCACGAGATGACGTAGCCTTTAATAGTACAAAGGAACACACGGCAGCATCCCCCTATCATGCAACACCACCACCCCAACCATGTTGTGTGATCCGAAAATATAGTCAGCGAGTCCCGAACGTGTGTCGACTCAGACTACATAACGCACATTCATATGCATGCAGCTTGCAGTTTGTGTTGGGACTTTCACGGGACACGCAAAAAACCCCAGAGATAGTTGCGCACCAACGGACTCACCAGCAGTCACCGAACGGTCAAGTATCAGCAGATTTCTGCTGCTCCGCGGGGCTGGTGGTTGATGGGGAACAGCGAGAGCGGAGGAGACGGATCCGAATGCGGGGATGTCGGCCACCATCCCCGGGCTTTCCAGGCACAAATTTCTGGTTCGCGTGACCACCACCAAGTACACCGCGCTCTCGCGCTGTCCTGACTGAGATGCATTTCTTGTCTCTGTCTACGATCTAGTGCCCAGGCGTGCCATCGCGCCGCGAGACAGACAGGCAGAGCGTCAAACTAGTGGATCACCCCCGTCGACCGCGTGAACGATTTCGAGGCAGGGCGATGCCGTAGCGTGGCTGCCAGAGCTCACCCTCCAGAGAGTGGGGAACCCAGGGAACCGCCAACGGCAGTCATGAGAACAACGGACATCAAGGTTTCTCCGTCTCGGCCTCTTACCTGTTTTGCCTGTTCTTTTCTGTTACAACTACAGCAGTAATCGGTATGCGTCCTGTCAGGCTGAGCTGCGGTCATCAAAAGCCTCCTGGCACAACAATCTCAAGCTGTTTGTGGACGACGGGAGGAGCGCTCCGTTCATGAGTCCCCAATCTCTCTCTCTCTCACACACACTGCCCCCTCACGGGGTCCCAGTTCATGGCAGATAGAAGTGTTTTGTATTTTCAACAACCGCACTGAGACTGACGTCTCTTCATTGGTCAGCCGGTTAGTGAGGTTTATGCTAAATCTTCCGTCTACAACTCCCCAACATAACATACAGATAGATACACAAGATGGCTACCAAACTGCCTTGTTGAGCCTGTTACCCACAGGGGAGATATCGTTGAACAACAATCTTGGAAACCGTAGACATACAGGTAGCCTTTCGCTCACGCTATGGATGCATTGCTAATCTATCTTATGTGGAGACCACCTTCATAAAGGTTGAAACTCCCCAACGTCTGTCGAGGACGAAACGCCTTTTTCCATAATGGCGTCGACGAAGAGATGTAAGGTGTATTTGCTTTTGGTTGTAAAAGACACGGGTTCAAAACCCGCTTCTCACCTAATTTTCTTCCGGAGTACGGAAAAAAGAAAAACGATGGGTGGGCCAAGAAAACGATGCACGATCTATCGAACTCGAAACTTCTGGCAATGCGTGGCGGAAAAAGCGCGCACCCGCACACACGCACAGAAGATTGTTGGAAAAAAATGTGATTCTACTCGCCGCCAGGCGGTCGGGTTCCGGTTACCCCAAGAAGACTCCTCTTGCCTAGCAAACAAGAAGCCTCGAAAAAGGGCGAACACTTCTCTTGCCTAGCAAACAAGAAGAAACCTCGAAAAAGGGGGAGGTAATGTGGAGACCACCTTCATAAAAGGTTGAAACTCCCCAACGTCTGTCGAGGATAAAACCCCTTTTTCCACACTTAGACACTTAGACTTATTTCTATTGAGATGGATTTGTCGTGTGAGATTAAGAAGCAAAAAAAACACACACAANCGGGTTCCGGTTACCCCAAGAAGACTCCTCTTGCCTAGCAAACAAGAAGCCTCGAAAAAGGGCGAACACTTCTCTTGCCTAGCAAACAAGAAGAAACCTCGAAAAAGGGGGAGGTAATGTGGAGACCACCTTCATAAAAGGTTGAAACTCCCCAACGTCTGTCGAGGATAAAACCCCTTTTTCCACACTTAGACACTTAGACTTATTTCTATTGAGATGGATTTGTCGTGTGAGATTAAGAAGCAAAAAAAACACACACAAACTGATCGACCAACTTCCACCAGGGCCAATCGGTTGGGATCTCTGCGACAACGGTAGTAATGAGGGTGATTCTTTTGGGAGTGACGGAGACGAAGGAAAGGGAAGGGGGAGGAAGGAGGGCGAAGACGACGATGGAGGAGGAAAATATGGAGGAGTGGAAGAGAGCAAAGGCTTTGAGCCAGATGACCTTTTCCAAAACAAAAAACGTAGGGCTAGGGAAGAACTGCCCAGAGATTCTTGCCAAAATGAGGATCAGATTGATGGTAGCGAGAACAAGGAGGATCATGGTGAAAGTACTCCTAAACGAACTCCAGTACAAGGTAATAGCCTTGGTAGACAGACCAAGATACCGGTGATATCTGTATGCTCCATTCCAAGACGAACAAACAAGGAAAAAGCTAACTACCCGCACACCCCCGCCGAATCCTCGCATCAAAGATGAAATCGAAAAAAAGAAACACAAAAAAGAAAAAATGTTATGTCTCTGTCGGGGGTCGGGGAAAGATCGTCACACACTTGGCCCATCTTTTCCTTGTGCCTCATTTTCAGAGCATGAGAGAAAAGAGGCCAATTGACGCAGCGCAAGCCGGGCGGCGTTCAACGCGAAGCGCTACGGAACATTCAGAGCTTAGCGCGAGGGCCCGCAACGCCCCGGGAGTCTCTCGACGCGCCTGTGGCTGCCTCAGCAGCAAGCCTCGCCTCCCTTGCTCCGCGGATGACCGGTTCGAGGTGCTCTTCGTACCCTTGAACCGGATCTCGCCCGTTCAACGGGTTACGCTGCGATAAAAAAACAAGAAGCATGAAGCGCGGTCGGTTTCGCGAGTGTAAGGATTTGGACACCGTTGTCCTAGCCAGGAGTCAGCGGGAGGGGGGGAGCACTCTTACCAAGCGCGAAGCGCCGTGAGGTATTCAGCCCGTGGCATGAAGGGTGCACTCGTTCCTGGGGGGGGGGGGGGGGGGGG